TACACCCATTAGATGGATTAGGACATAATATGACGGCAGGACTACCAAGCTTTTTCAAAGTATACCTCGGCTCTTGACTTTTGACACAAAACTGCAAATTTTCTAATCTAATTTTTGCGAATTTAGTATTGAATTGAAACTCTCCGCTCAGCCGTCCGACTAACGCGCACATAACCCCTTGTAGCACCAGTCTGCTCTGCACGCTTCTAGAGTCTTGGAGAGCCTAGAAGATAATTTTGTAAAAAAAAAATACACTTGAAAATTCCCTTCCACCTGTTCTTTATTCGCGTTTTCATTAACTTAAGCTTTTCAGTGGTCTGCCGAACGAAATTGTTTTTTCCGCATGCGAGTAAGGGTCGGATTGACATTCAATATCAGGATTTGCAAGATTTATTTCTGAATTGTAAATAGAGAGCCTTCCTGATATTTAATCTCTGTAAGAGATCAAAGAAAATAAAGCATTTTTTCTTTTTACTCGTACATCCACATTCCCGTCTCATATGGACTAACACCACCTTCCGGTTCTTCTTCTTCCATTATGACATTCTCTTGTTTAATACGAAATCAATTATTTGGCACTGCTATCACACCATTAACTTTGCTATGATAATGCCAGATTGGCAAATTTAACGTTCGATTTTAAACATATTAAAGCTTAAAGCTTTAATAAAGTTTGCAATTTAAATTACTAAATTTTATAAATAAGGATGACCACAGACCTACCATTAGCCTATGGAACTATCGCATTTTGCTGGAGCGGAGGCGTGGACGCGTGTACTTGTTTTTTAGTGTAAAATGAAAAAATATAATAAATACATATATGAATAAATTGTAGATCATAAAACCGCGAATCTTCATCTATATGAGGCAATGCTTCGAACTTTAATCAATTAAGTGGCGGATCTTCATTCCGTATGATGAGGTGGTGAGCGGCGGCATATCTTGTTTTTCAATCTAAAATTAAATAGAAATAACTAAATAAGTTATAAATAACACAATTTTCTCTAATATATATGTCTTTACTGTATTCAATACACAATTCCGTGTTCATATGGTGGTGGGTGTTCCGCATTTATGTAAACTAAAATGGAGCCAAAATAAATGAATAAATGTTGAAATATATCTTAATATCATAAAATATTTACCTTAGTATGACGTTATCTTGATGTCTATGGTCTCTCTCAAATTTCTTCCCGTTGTTAGCATGAACAGCACGTAGCCAAATAAATTTATTCCGTGGATAATGCCGTTACTGCAGGATCTTGCTGTCCTGAAGAAGGCAAGCCATGGCATCACTGTTGCCTGTATGCTGTTGCTACATTGCTGCACAGAAGATATCGTACGCGTGATGGAACGCATCGTGGACCCCACGTGTTGGAAAGGCCTGTGTCAGGTATGTGATCATCAAGTTGTCTTTGGGATTTTTTTTCTGTTTGGATGAGATCCTTTATGCACGCTTGACAACGCAGGGGATGTATCGCGTGATCCCATATCCTGTGAGCAGCCGCAGGTAGTTTTCTTTATGCGTGTGGATTTGATTTAGGGTCAGATCGCCGAATACCTCCCCGTCGAGGCCAAACGATGTAAAATCTTCTTTGGCCTGGACTTCAATTTTGTAGTTCATGTTGTTGAAAAGGAAGTAGTTATCATCGGTTTTGAATCCAACATACCATTTTGCCACCTGCAGGTTCTTCAATCTTTCCGTCGGCTTCATTATTTCCACTGACGACCTAGCCCTCCTTTTGTTGGCGCCGAGAGCTAGATTTTGGAAGAACCTTTCCAGCAGGTCCTGGCTCACGCTGTATGGCGCTATAGTTATGCTAGGGTAAGACTTTACCAGCCATTTACCATTGTTAGACGGGTGTCCATAGATAGCTGCTCCGCCCTTAAATTCGCCTCCAAATAATTTCTGGTATCTTCCAGATCACTTTTGAGCTCCATCTGTGTGCTACTGTTGATGAAGCTCCGGTGGAAGACGTTCGCGAACTTGGTAATGTTGACCGTCAAGTCGCACGTCCTCTGCGCTATAATAATAATTTTAAAGCAATAATAAAATTAAAGCAATTTCGCGGCTCTCTTATACCCCAGTTTATTCGTATACTATAGGTAGGCACTCTAAGTTGTTTGTTTTTGTTTCGTAGTTTTTTTGTTTAGTTTTCTCAAATTGCTCCTAAATCTTGTCAACTCTCATCTGTCTGCTTTACCCGCCCGCCCGTAAGCACCGCACAACTTGGGGAATTTACGTAACAATCTGCTCAAAATTTCATGAGGTATGAGTACCATCGTATTTACTATATATCCTGTTGTTCGAAAAATATAAAAAAAATATAAAAATAATGATGTCGCAAAATATACAATAATGCAATAATTTTATTTATTTATACTTTAAAATTATAATTTTATTTATTTATTTATATTTTAAATCACGACGGCAGATTTTATTAATGTGCATTTATTTGTTTTCTAAGTATACAAATGACGTATAATATACGCATTTTTCGAAATATAATGAAAATATATTTTCATGTTCATATATGAAATTGATGTATTGAATGAATTATATTTGCTTTACAATTAACTCATTTGTACGTATAATATATTTTCATACATTTTCAGCGTTTGACCGTTAGTTTCCATTGTTCTTGCACACAATCTGTGTGCGTTATCCACAAAAAAAAAAAGCACAATTGCTAAAAGAATATGAATATAACGAGCCACTATGAATATAACGGCTGCGAGGTTATTCGAAATTGCTAGCAACTAGAGACACCAAAGAGATTCCTAGAGAAACTATGTGAATCTCAGATGGGTCTCCTTCTCAATACATGAAGCATATAAAATTGCAAATAAACGAAATAAATGCACTTACCATCAATAAACTGATGAAACTAGAACTTAACTTTGTTAAAATTAAGGAAGATTTTAATACACTAAATAATGCTCTTATTTTCCTTGAAATTACCCTTTTCTTGTTTAACTTATAAACCTTTTATTATCAATTTCTAATTTTATAATTTTTTGGGTTTTTTCTTTATTCCAGTTTTATACGTAAATGTTTCACAAATTTCTTATTCTAATTTTTAACCGTTTTTATTCCTTTTTTTTCAAATCTTTTTTCGCAATTATTCACATCTTACAACTTTTTTGTGTATTTGTGAAATAACTTTGTTGAAACTAATTGAATTGAATTGAGTTGAATTTTCGCCATGTTCCGCTACAAGGTTTATAAAAACATACCCATTTGTTTAGTATGGAGTGAGCACAAAATTGCTTTCAATAAATGCAAATATTCGACGACGATGATAAACAATATCCTCGACCATAAAAATATCCCCGACCCATGATTAATGACGATTAATTGGTGGAAATGATAAATGGTTAACTCAATTTATTTCGCTCGCATATTTATTTGTACACTTTTTCTATTTTGCCATTTTTGATAATTACTCATAGCGTAAAAAAAGAGAGATCCTTATTCTTAGGATCAAAAGTATGTACATCATCACTGAATATTTTGAATCCATTTTAGACATTGCGGTCTAAAGTTTGGTGTGCTTTAGGTTAAAGCTGCGAAAGCAGTTTTGCGGAAGAACGACAAGTGCGATTCTCTCTTTAAGTAGTGAGGTTAGAGGAGGCTTGTCGTCTGGACGTATTGGAGCACCTGTAGCCTATTTCTTCTTTCCGGCGACTACCTGGAAACCTAGCATATTGTTCTCCAGAATATGGCAGACCGCTTCCGCATCTCTGAATTTAGTAATAAGAGTTTAGCGTATTTTTTAAATCCTTTTTTTAATTTTAATTCAAAATCAGACTAATTTATTAAAAAATACTTACGCTACGGTCGCGAAATCTACAAAATAGAAGCCACTTACCTACCTACCTAAAGTAAACTATCTTTATAAGGCATACAACACTTCTCGGTGTAATCCTTTCTTCTCGGTATATGACAAGCTTCATCCAGTGGTTACTTATTATACAACTGCTTAGCAGAGCAATAGTCATCACATGCAAGGAGCATCCACTGGCTACACCACGTGTAGTGATTATACCAATTCGCAAATACCGATACAAATAGTTGGAGTGAATATGCAATCTCAATATCGGGACGCTTATGCTATACAGAGCGCCGCTCTGTTAATCCATTTATGAGAGGATAGATGGAGAAGAAGAAAAGTTAGAACATTTAATATTCCTCATATTTATTAGGTTAATTTTTTCGTCAAAATTAATTCGCTGATTTGAGAAAAGATAGAAGATGGAAGCAAGGAAATCAAATGAACCGTAAGAAAGGCCTACGAGTTCTTATAAACATTCAGATAACCGCACATGCACATGCGAACAATAGTCTACGAAACAATAGAATACGAAATAGAATGTAGTTTAAGTAACAACAATGGTTATATCAAGAAAGTTATCGATAATATTTAAATAATAGACTAACGGGAAGTTGCTTGCTGCTCTTGTGCAAGTTGATGAGAAAGGATTTCTAGTTTATAAGGTTTGCATAGAGGTAAATGTAAGTTTTCTTTTTCTTTTGAGTGGAGTGACTGCGAAATTCCTATGTAAATTAAAGTGTAACAACAATAATCAATTATTGGAAAAAAGTAGACTTTTATTTAAGCATTTAAAATATCGTACAAAACTATTTCATTTATGCAATGTCTTTCTTTACGATCTCATTGCATACGATCTTTATTGTCAAGTGTTACGAATTGTCAATTCATTAGAGATTTTAATTAAAAAATTTAAAAAAGAAAACATTTTTATTAAGAGTATAATGTTTTATTGAAAACAGTAGAACAATAGAGATGAAAATCAATACAAAAAACTAACCTAAATGCATAAGTTGCTCATTAAAACTTAAATGTACCTTTTCGTGAAAAGTTTATAATACAGATGTGACAAAAATTTGTGGCAGTTTCATTTGAATATCAAAAGAAAAAAGAATATATGTAATTCCGTGTTAAAGAAAATTTCACGATAGAGAAAAATTTAATTCTTACATTCAATGTCTTCTTCTTCTTCTTACACGATATGCACTTAAAAACAATCGAGCCTGGTAACTTTGCGAATATTTACTAAGTGAACTTGAAAAATGGAAACTATTTAATTTATTTGTTATATCGTATGCATAATAAGAAAACAAAGAAAATAAAAAAAATATAATGGTTTTAATTTCTCTAATACATTGCATAATTGATAATGAAATTTTTGTTTTTCTAAGAATTTAATGGCGTTTAATTTCAATATGTTTGCGTGAAAATATACTAAAATTGCTGCCTTATAGTGATTTATGGATTCACGTTTTCCTTTTCAAAACTAACAATTTACATTTACAAAATTCTTTTTTTTTTGCTTTTTTTATAATTTAATTTTATACTTAGTTTAATTAACAATCTTAATCCCATTCACCGATGTACATGCTGCGGGGTGTCGGTATATAACCTCGTGTAGGTAAAGGTAAACGACCATATATGTGATTATAAGGTGATTCCATAATATCGGCATCTGTATATAGTAAAAAAAAAAAGAACAACATTTGATTAAAATTAATCATAATGTAAAATTAATAAAATATATGTCTACGTAGAAGGTAAGTTACAATCGAGTCAGAATGATGTTTGTTGATTTTTTAAACAATTTTTTTATGATGCCTTTTATTAAAGACTTGAGAAGTTTCTTTGCAATTGTATGCATCCTTCCGACTCGCACGTCTAAAGTCCAAAAAAAAAAGCGGAATGTGATAAATTTGTTAACAAATTTTTTTTTTGGATTTATCATATTCTTTGCCTTTCCTTTTTTTCAAAAGTATCATTTAAAAAATTAGTTAAATCTGTAACTTATTTCGTTTAAAAGGCCAAGGAAGGGGGTTATAAAAAATAACGACATTAACCACACAATACATTTACTACATTATATACTTACACATATATATATATATATATATGTATATATACGTATGTACGTGTGTTTATGAAAAGGGATTAGATTAATTATAATTAAGTAAAATGAAAGCCTTCTTGCAAGAGAAACAAACGTATATACAGCTTAGGATTGGTGTTATGTGTTTTTTGTGTGTATGTGTTACCAGTTTTGTAAAATTCATTGACATCAACAACTAAGCATAACCTCAACAAAATCAAAAATAAAAGCCATTTTTTTTCGTTGCTTTGCTGTAAATTTGGCATAAAATCAAACCTATTTTCATTCTCAATAATCGAGTATTTGAATTTTTTTCATGCTAAGACTGCGTGGTTTGCGCGGTTTTAAATACCCATAAATCGATTCCATGTCGCTAATATCAATGCGTTTATTTGATCGACCAGATCTTTGTGCTGATTGTTGTTGTTGCTGTTGTTGTAAAAGTGGTGATAATGGTGCAAACTGTCCATTTAGTTGTGAATCTTTTTTTAGTATTATTGGTGGTGGCGGCGATGGTGGTCTTGGAAAATTTGATGCCATTTCATTTGGCACTTTATCACTTTTATGTATTAACGTCTGTTTAATGGTAAGTAAGTTGCTCTGTTTGTTATTGAAGCAATTTGTGCCAATGTTAGCCTTATTGTCTTTTTGTTGCTTTTTCTCTAGATGCAATTTATTATGTGGCTTATCGATGATATCCATTGTAGAATCTTTTGTTTTATTGCCGGAGTGATTGCTGTTGTTGTAATTGTTAAGCACTTCTTTCAAATTCACTTGCTTGGCTCCTCGCCACATAGGTGCTGGCAACAATGGCTTGTTATTATAGTCGTTATTGCTACTTAGGTTCAAATGAGAATTGTATTTTTTGGCAATGGCTGTAGATTCTCCCAACTTTTCCCCGTCGTTATTGCGGATGTGGTCATATAAATTATTAGTGGAAGGTGTTTTCGTTACTATGCACTTACGGCCTTTATACAAATACAAGGAACCTTCTTCGTTTGGTTGCTCGAAAAAACTCTCAATCGACTGAGATCTATTGGGCTTATCGTGGAGATTTGCATTTCTTAATTCATTTCTTTTCAATTCATCCTCTTTCAACTCGATTCCACTGTGAGTGGTTGGAGACTGTAATTGGCGTGAACGTGCCCTGTCGACGTAACCATAATTATTAATCGACTGGCCATGTCTATGATACGCAGTACGGTTATGAAAATTTTGATTTTTTGGATTTTCCAACTGACGTTTATAGTCCATTTGGGTGGTATTGAAACTGTCATAATCAAAATCGCTATCTAGACTATAAAATTGATTACTTGAACTAGTTTTCTCGTTACTATAACGCAAAGTTAAATCATCTTTTTCGTCGCGTCCCAGCAACGACACGTCACTGTCACTGCACCATTTGAAAATTCCGTTACTATAGGCTTTACTATACAAATCCTTGTTGCCGCTAAGAAGCTGATGTTGACGCAATTGTTGTTGGCTTAAACTACGTGGCGGTCTTGTAGGGGCGGGAGCACCCAGCAAAGGTGCTAGAGTAAAGCAACTCACGCAATTGCAATTGTTACCAGAAGCTTTTTGATCGTTCATAGTGGAACGTCTTGACGGCCTTAAGCTTAGCGGCTTATCGTCGTTGCCAAGATTATATTGATACTTTTCTGGAGTTTTAAAATAAAATTCACCCGGTGCCGAACTAACTGGTATTGGGGGCTTTAAATGCGAATGCGTGCGTTGATGACGACGATGATGATGATGATGATGATGACGATGACGATGGTGTTGGAGATTGGAAGAATTTTCATGGTTTTGATGATGATGATGCTGATAATGAGTGTGTTCTGCGTAGATATCTTCATTTGCTAACTGTTCAGTATTGTCTGTGTATGTCAAATTTAGATTGGTTTGCCGATTATTGTTGTTGTGTTTGCTGTTGGGCATATTGCCGTTTCCATTATGTCGCTCCAAATGTACTGTTGGAGAGCAGTCCTCGTAACATGTCATTTGATAGTTGTAAGGGTAAAATATTTGCGTTTGTGCTTGTATGTTATTCGGTACTTGTTGCTGTGAGAGTTGTGGTGGTGATAAAGATTGTGCGTTATCCGTCATTGTGGTCGGTGCCGTCATTTCATTATAAATACCTATGCCACTTTCAAAACTGCGCGCCTGCCACATGGGATGCGAATGCTGATGGAGATGATGATGAGCGGCTGCTGCAGCCGCCGCGGCGACCGGATGCTGGACAGCATGAACGGCAGCCATTGCCATCATTTGCTGTTGTTGTATGTGATGTGGATGCATATGCGGTGGCGGCGGCGCATGCATGCTAGGATGCATAGGCATCATCATTGAAGTCTTTTTTTGTGCAGATAAAGTATTCATCATGTTGGCAGCGACGGCCGATGGTGACTGTGATGTTGAGCTCGTGTTGAGCACGGCTGCCCCTGCGGCCATATGATCCTTGGCTGTTTTGGATGATGATTTAACGAAATTTGGTACACGAGCTCTTAACCCACAATAGTAAGGATCATCTAGAGGAAGGAAAGAATAAATGAAAGAGGAATAAGGGAAAGTTAAACAATTGAAAATATGTAAAGTAAGTGAAGTAAATTAACTAGAATACAAGAGAGAGTGAAATCAAAGTGAAAGCAATAATTATTAAGTGTTTTAGATGCGGAAGTGTATGAAAAGTTAAACGTGGAAAAGTTAAGCGAACTGTTTTATAATGAACAACAATCTTTCTAAAATATCACTTAGTTAAGATACCATAAATATGTCAATTGCATCGATACTTTATTGCCATATGTTATGAACATCTATTGAAGAGAAGCACTACACATAAATGGAAGAGGGATATGTTAGGAAAGCGAGATCAACATAGTTTTTTTTTTTATATCAAAGTAGTAAACTATAGCATAGCTTCTCGTGCCTCTTCTGTGTGGTTATGCACAGTTGTGCATAATTGTGAGAAAATTTCGAACTAAATGAGCGAAAAGAAATGGTTCATGAAGAAATGTACAAGCGTTTGACAAATTAAGTAAAAATTTAGCAAGTTATTCAGTAAAAAATCGAACGGCGTTAGATCGGATCAACCGAAGAGTATTCTAGGAGTAAGGCAATTATAAACAAGTAAAAAAGTGATAGTGCACCACCGCTCAGGATTAAACACCTTATACACAAGTACGCTTGAGACAGTTATTAATATTTACGACTTTTCAATATAGTACGTTAGATGGGTGGGGATCTGAAAAGTGTTCCGATTCGAACCGTTTTCAATAGCACTTTTGGACTAAAATATGTCGCTGTACCGAAATAGATCGGAGTAGATCAAATACAAGAATATAAGACGGACGGACGGATAGACAGGCAGACAGACAAACAAAGTTTGATCAGAATCACTTTCGGAATTGATCGGTTTAATAAAAGGTGCTTCCATCTCGATTCGTTCTGGGTGTTATATTCATTAGCATGAATTTGATATTCGTATAACAAGTAGTGCAGAGTATGGAAATATTAATGAATCTTGAATTAGTGGTGCATCCTGCCCTTAGAAATATATGCCGCATGAGTTTAGTAAATATGTCGTTGATGATAAAGCTAATCGCCTACTTATTAGCAGTCGTCATTTGCTAAGTTAACTGATGATTTCCAAACCCGACGACCCCCTGTAGTAAGCAAAGGAATTGACATGACTTGTATAAAGTTGGAAGCGATTTTGCAAAGTAGTCAAAGTAATAGCTCAATAAATCAAACATTTCCGAAATGCTTTATGAGCAAAACAGGCTGCGTAAGTAATACATATATGCAATAGTAATAGAAAATATGCTAAAGAAGTTCGACAGTTAACTTACATAGGAGCAATGAAAAACTGTACTCACCATATTTCTTATTATCTTTGCCTTTATCCGATTTGCCTCGCGACATTTTTATTCTGGTTTCAGCGTCAATGTCATCATAATCCGGCTAGAAATAATGAAAAATCAAAATTTATAAAGGATTAATATTTTTGTAATAACGATTTGTAAGCTTAATAAAGATTTATTACAGCAAAAAAGATATCTTAATGTACATATCTATTGTATATGTATTCAAGCATAAAAAAAAATAATAAAAATAATTTTTCAAAAAACTCTAGGTGGAATAGTGTTGAATTATTGCTAAAGTTTATATATTATTTTACACATCGTGTTGTGCCATGAAAAACGTATTTAGAGTACGAAGAAACAAGATAAACAAGCAAGCAATAGCAGCAACAGCATTCTTTGCATATTAATTACATGCGATTTTCTAAGACGATCAAAGTTATGATTTGCAGTCACTGCTCCTGCTTATGTTAAATACATATTGTTGCTGAACGTTAAATAACCAACGCCTCAACGCGACCGATCAATCTTTATAACAGTAGGTCGTCGACAAAATGCTGAAATATCAACAACTTTTTGCACAACTAACGATAACAGCAAAAACTATAATATCGATAACAATAATTGTAATAATAGCAATACTGATAATAATAATATTGGCAAACACATCGTTGCTCAATGAAGCTTTTAAGAGGGATCCAAGTATGATTGAAGGAGCTAGTACAAATTAATTGGATCGGCGTTGTGCCTTCTCCTCTTAAACAGACCTTTTTCTCTTGCTTTATACAAAAAGTGATAAAGAGTCGATAAGCAGTGAATTTATTTTAGCCGACGCCAAATCTGCGTTCGCCGCCAACAAACGGAGAAAAAATGGTATAATAGAAAGCAACGCTAAACTGTTATAGTTGGACTTGGTCAAGTTTTGAATACCTAAAACATCATTTCGCCTATCAATGATCAAAGTTTCAAAAATGATTTTGCGAAAAAATTTTTCATAGTAAGAGACTACGAGCTACAGACAAATGTTTGGCACATGTCAATCACTATCCTAGACCAAAGTGCTAAATATTAGATCTTGTTGCCATATGAAGATTCACTTTGCCCGAGAACACTTACATGTGAACGAGTCCACATATATATAAATAATTCACAATTTAGCAATGCCAACTTATAAACAAATTGCTACTTTAGATGTATTTTTATCTTATTTTTTATGATAACTGTAAGATAGGAACGAGTTCAAAAAATAGACCGACGAAGCTCAAATTTAGCCCTGCCAATAAATAGGTTCGGTCAATAGTCTGGACCTATGTTCACCTTTGTTGGAAAGGGGTTCAAAGAAATCAAGGCCATTTTATTGTTCTGGCCCTGTGTTCCTTCTTGTTGCTCATTTTTCGTAGGTACATTTATACAAGAAAATGATCTCATGCACGAAATGATCTCTCAAGCACTATTGTGTATCGATTTTTGCCAAGAATTATCAAAAAAGCTACATACTCTGGTTCGCATATAACAACATTTTCAAAGTACGGTTTTATACGGGACGGGGAGTCTGAGCCAACCTCAGACCACTCAATTAGCCTTTTCCTACTAGATTCAAAAAATCCTTACGTTACAAACATCGTTACGATCATCGTTGGACAAACTTAATGTATCGAATACCAGAAGTATTGCAGGTTATAATAAACTTAACACTTTCGTACTATTTCGAACTGTTAGAGTCGGCTGTTGCTATATAATAACAAGTGTTGGCAGCCAACTACAATAACAAACCCATAACAATAATTGCAGTTTATTTTTAATACAATCAATGCAATATTAATGATGTTGTAAGTGCCAAGACTTAAAATGAATAGCATAAGGTATTGAACACGAGCAGCGTTCGATTTGAGTTATTAAGAAATCAGAATCTAGAAGACAAGTATTGCACATGAGGAAACAAGTTATATTGTGGAAGGAGGATTGCGGGTGCAATTTACTCTTTTTGTTTATTGTAAACCATAATAACAATTGAATTAAGAAAATGTAGAAGAAAACGATAGTAGCGAGCGAACTCTGAATACCCGTCAAATATTATAATGTAAAAGTTGTTGATTGATTTTGTACTAATCATGATTGCATTGATATATTCATGGAGATCGTTATCATATTCATAATCAAATCTTAGGTAAAAAAAAGTATTGGGATTATTGGGCAGTGTATTAAGGGTATTAGTTAGTTCTTCCCTTAAATGAATTGCTTCGGATTAGGATTACGATTAAATGAAGCAATTCTACCGTTCTTCGTAATGTTTTCGAAATGAAAATCTTTTATTTTCCCTCATGATTTTAGAAAGCATTCATGTGCTGAAATGATTTCGAATAAAATCGTAATTTGCAGATCCAAAGGACCCCAAAAGAACGGACATCAGGAATACCTATACAGAGGCATACTTTGTAGATGATCCAAACAGCATGATAAAACTGCGGATACAAAAGTGCACAGAATTTGAAAAAGGGTTTATATAATTTCTTTTTATTTATCATATATACGTAGTCATCGATTAGTTTGTTTAGCAGATATAATCTTGGAAAATAGTATTTAATTATTTAATTTAATTTTGAAAAACCCAAATTATTATCTTTAATTTTTATTACTACAAGTTATAATTGGAAGCAATTATTTTTACCTTTATTGCTATGTTATTCGCTTTTGATTTTCTGTTATGCAAAGCAATTTAAGTATTGCTGTGCGATTTATTTGGTTATAACAGCTTTTCTACAAACTGACTTCTTTACTAAGCGTAACACTATTGGGTGAACTGTAAGCTGTATTTAACCGTCTGAGTACCAAGCAGCGCAATGGCAGTGTTTTTTCAAAACCGTCTGGTACTCAGACGGTTAACTTGGCAGTATTTTAGCTTACATTTTATTGCTCTATTTCATCAGTTGTTTGATTTAGTCGTGCACCTATGTGTACATTAAGCAAATTTGCTGTAGACTCGGTATAAGTGAAGTCTAAATGCCAGGTTATAAAATATGTCAAATTACTGCAAGTATCATCCTTCGGGGTAGCTCTTAGGTTTCTGCCTCCTTTCGCTTTGTATTCAAATAATTGTTGCATTAACCCTTTTACTGCACTAATGCTAAAGGAATTTTTTATCGGTTCTTCTGGGACCTGCACTAATGTATACTAGAAAAATGTCTTCTTGTTTGTAGGAGTTTATAATTTACAAAGTTATTTTCATAAAATTTTTGCAGATATTGAAAAAACTTAACGGTATTTGATAAATATTGAACTGGAAAAGAAACTCAGGTGCAGTTTTTATTAAAATTATTTTAATTTCGATTATGATTCTTGTTCTATTTTTCTTGCTTCTGTTTTTTTTTTTTCGTAAACAAAATTCTTTAAAATGTACAAGGACTGCAGGGACGTTTTTTATTTATACTACGATAAATTTTGGTAACCTATGCTATATATATTACGCATTATCATTTCATGTTGCATATCGATTACTTTTAGCATAATCTATTCGCATAGACTTTAAACTTAATGTTCGCCGTATTACATGTCTGGTCTATGATACTTAATTCTGAGATCATATCTCTTCCTTTGCTCATGCCTTTTTGAAACTTTGGAACTAAGTTGCTAATGTAGCTCTAAAAAACCCTTCGATCATAAAAGCCCAACTTATTAGCAGGACGACCAGAACTTAATGGATCAAGTAGGAATCCTCTAATCTTAATAACGTCTGACACGTCCTGCTTTTTTTGGTCGAAAGTTCAAATATCGCTTCTTCAGCTCGGTGGTGAAATGCAGACTTTGAAAACGTCGGACGACTGCTTTAGTGCTTTTAAGAGACAAATTTTTCTTTGATTTCGCGGTCCCTACCGTTACAACTAATGGTACATTGGCATAAACTGGAGAGGGAGGGGGTGGTGTCGAAAAACGATCCCTTTCTATTTAAATTTTCATGCTGTCGTGCCAAAATAGTATCTTTGATTGATTCTTGCTAAGAAATATTAAATTTAAAAATGTTCTTTATGGGAATCTCTAAATTGCTTGATTCATAAATTCAAAAGCATGTCTATGCATCAATATCCAATATATAATAAAATACTAAATATAAAATCATACACATTAAGTAAGCAAGGTGACCCATTGACCGACGTTCTTAAATGGATGTAGAAAATGATTCTCATAGATCTATGTCAAATCTTTCCAAAAAATCGTTCCGTATGCATGTACACATATATATATATATGTATATATATACATACACAATATATCATTTTATATATATATCTTTAAGAAACAAGTCCTGTGGAGGATAATAATAACAACTTTTTATAAAAAGTAATGAGCTAAAAAAAATACATTCATTCAATCATTGAAGAAAAAGTACATAGCGTCTTTTTCTTACAAAAATTTACTTACATTTTAAAAGAAATTTAAATAATAAATAATAAAATAAAAATTTCATGTAGAATAACTCTTTGCTTTTTTTCTCAAGAATTTGTAATGCCATCAGGGCAAAGGCTTTGCGATATCTAAACCAATTATGCTAAAAACGGAACTAATTAATTTAACGCGCCTATCTACGCATCGGTTTTGTACCATTAACATACATCGAAATATTTCAGCCGGACTCGGTGATTTTTTCTCGAGTGACGAAAGTTGTTTGTAAATTGTCACCGTCGAGATGGAAGCATACAATTTTCCTATTGATCAGCCATGAACGCTTTATCTTAGTAATCATCTGGCAGCTGTTCACAGCAAACATAAAGCAATATATTTCATTCATTTTGGATCGAGATCGTCTTTGCGCAATTTCCGTTTGTTTCAGCAGTGATTCGCGTATGGAAGTTCAGTTCGCTAGATTTTCCACTAACAGTTCATGTTGTTTTTCTATTTTTGTGCAATCTTATACAAGTAGTTAAAAACTGTTTTTTTCTGTGTGTGTATTGTGATACCATATAAAGTTATGAGTCGGCTTCCCAATTTTTCGAAAAATGTTCTCGACCTTAGAGAGAAAGAGTTCCCCACCATTAAAACCTTCAGAGCCGGAACGGCTGCTCTTATTTCCGAAGGTCTTCATCATGAAGACCATGTATTTTTTCACCAGAGTGCGAAGCGTTCTCCCCTTGGTCAAGGTTGGATTTGAGAAATGTAGCGCTTTTTGTTTAGAATTTTGGCGTGTCAATCAACAACCGTGAGAAATGAGATGCACTCTCGACTTTCACATGCGCTATAAAATGGTCGGATAAGCTTCACAAAATCAAAGTTACACTCTTTGCTCTAAGGCCAACCTTTAGGGAGAAAAGCCATCAATTTTTTGCCTGACAAAATAATTCAGAAACATCAATATGATCAAGATGTGTATTAGACCTGGAAACAATAAATAAAAATTCAATGCCCTATAAGTATCAATAAGTGTTTGCTGTTCGTATCCGAAGGAGGAGAATTTTTAGAAATTTTTTTAAGAAATCTAAGATGCTGTCCTTGTATGTAGCGCTGGACTTGATAGACATTCGTAAACGTTATAAGCATAAGTTACGAGTGTAAACCGTTGAAAGCCTTTATCTAAATCATTACATTTTCAAGTCTCTCATTAAGTGTAAAGAATTACATTTTCTTGCAAATTTTTGCAATCGTTTTCGGAACATAAATATAAATCAGCTTACCTTGGGTTCAAGTCCATAATTGCTATTATCTCTGGGTGGTAATTTTGGTGGTTTCTCGCTACGTTTGTGTGCCAATTGTTGTGTTTGCATTAGCAATTGTTCTCTAGTAGCTGCCACATGACCGCTACCATTCACCATAATACTGTTGCCATTATTCAAATGCATGCCACCGCCAGTGTTTTGTTGCTGTTGTTGTTGTTGCTGTTGTTGTTGCTGTTGTTGTTGTTGTGATGTTGTTTGTTGCGTTTGTGGCGTTTGACCACTATGTATGGACATCATACTGCCACCGCTGCCGTTGCCAGCCACACTGTAAGGATCTTCATCGGGTATCGGTATGCGAGGACGATTCTTAATATCCACCATCGAACGTTGCGCTATTACGAAACGAACGAAATAAATCAATTATTATTGCCATCTATGCATAAGGCAGAACAGAAAAGAATGCAGAATGCAGAATGGCTGCGCAAAGTACGCGCGTAAGTACGCATTGTTTGAATTGTGCGTTTTATTGCCACGATTGTTGACATTTTTCATAGATTCACAGATTCTAGAATTTCTAGTCCAGCATGGAAATTATTCAATAGAGTTATGATAAGCGGCATTTCTAGCCTGTAAAATGCAAATTTATATATCGTTTTCGTTAACATATTGACACAACAATTGCGGGACGCGACCATTTCGTTTTCATCTGAAAGTTTGACATTTGAAAATGAAAGCTTTTTATGAAATTTTTGCAAAGACGAAAATCAGCAAACAAAAAAAAAAAAAAAAAATAAAAATAAAAATGGAAAACAGAAAAGGAAAACTTAAGCTATTCTTAAAACATCATTGTTCAACATGTTGTTCGTTTTTTTTTTTTTTTTTTTGCAACCTTCTGCTTCTATACCCCATATCCATGCATAGCAATTGATTGCCATTAATAAACAATAACATATTAGCCTTGACTTGTTCTTGTATTTCTTCTTTTTTCTTATTTTCTTGCCATTGTATACACATTTTCACATATATATAACGAGAAAATCATCGCAATATATACGTATTTACTCATTAATGGTAACAAAAAAGAAGCAAGAGTTGTTGTGTAGATCACCTAGAAATCTACTTTTATTTCTATGGATTGTTTTTCTCTTTTTTTTCATGTTTTATTTCATTTTATTTAAGTTCACTTCTCACATTAAAACTGCAATTACCTGGTGGCAATTTGCTTTTCAGCATATCCATGGCTACAACATTTACAATGAGAACCCATATGGGACACTCGAGTATGTCATTTTCTGATTTCACAAAAGCTACCGCTGATAGACATTGCGTTTCTAAACGTCGACGATCTGGATAGGCGCGTCGCAACTCACGATTCACATTCGATTGGAACTTTTTCATATCAAATAACTTGTGAATAAAAGAATAAAATAATTTTCATTTGTTGCTCTTATTGTTGCTTTTGTTCTCATTTCTTGTTTTTCACTATTAATCTATTTCAACTCACTTTGACTATTTTCTCATTTTCGAGAGCTTGATTGGGTAACTTTAGGATATCGGCACCAATGGAAGTTTCCTCATTTGGATGGCTGGCTGTACTTTTGACATACACATTACTTTTCGCGTAACGTCTTATCAGTATATTGCCAGCGTCGTCCATTTTTATTTTGACACCCTTTGAGTGGAATATAAAAAGAAAAAACAAAAGACTTAAGTAACAAACCCATCTTTCTTGTAAATGCGATTATTGAAAAACAACAATTAGGTTCATAAAGTTGTTGCTATTGCATATGCATTGCATTTTCATTTTCATTTATATTGACATTTAACGGTTTGATATTACGGCAATTTCAAACACGTTTGCAAAGAAGAATTTAGAAAAATAATTTATCTCTTCACAGCTACAGCGCAGGTAGTGAGTGGGCTTTGAATGGAAATTGGTTTTTATGCTTTAGTTATTTAGCTTTTTAACATAGCCATGATTTTTCCTGAATGGTATTGAATCGATAGCAAAAAATAATATGCAACTTGTATTTTAGTTTTTCAATACGACGGACACACGAATGAACTAACTGAGATCCGCTTTGCCTTCTTCCAAGTGGTACGGAGGAAGCGAAATAACCCGTGCACCCTAGCTAATCGATGTTAGGCACAAGCATAGTAATAAGCATAACCCACATCATTTGTGCGGAGGATAGATCAAATTTCTATGGACGTCTGCAACTCTTTGAGTCGCTTAAGATAGACACACATTTCATTAAGCCATTCGAGTCAAATTCAATTTCTTAACCGATGTGTTCCTCCGTCCGTCTGACCGTGTAATTTGTGTCAGCTTTCGATATATTTCGATGATCAAATTTGGTACCATGGCATTTTTTGAGCTAAAGAAGAACGTTATTGGAAACGCATGCAGTTGGACTACCTTTGTGGTTGCTTCACATGCTCATGTAATATGCCTTCACCAAAATCGATTGATTGTGGAGAATAATGATTGAGATGGGAATAGTTTTTAACTCCCTCTCTTATAAAAAAAAAAATATGCATTTATATGACAACAAGGTTTAATTTTTGCCATATTAAGTCTCTTTTATTTATTTAAACATTATGTCTGCAGTGTTGTGGAGCAACACAATAGTCTCTGTTATTTTGGTCATCGTACCATTTACTTACTATCTTTTTGAATAGATTATAAATTGCATATGTGATGAGAAAAAGATAAATATCGTTCCAGAATAATAGAGTGACAAATATGGTATTTTGTTAAATTTTTACCAAATGGATTTACTTCTCAGACCGATTACCATGTAAATGCCAAAGCTTCACTTCAAATCGCGTCGATTCGTGTGCTATTTCTCGATTATAAAAGGATTCTTATCCGTAATAATCCTTTCGAAGGCAACAAGGTAGAAATTTTAGTATTTTATGACGAAAGTATCCGAAGAATTGTATTAAGCGACGTTGTGTAGAGCGTATAATGATCGATCTTACGGGTTTAATTTGATTTTAATGCTTATGAGCGGCTTTGATTTTACGCCTACAATACACTTCTGTTGTAATGAAAGTTTTGTTTATATAGTAATTTGATCATAATCCTTTACAGTCCCAATATTCTCTTTACCTTGCACTTAATTCATAATTAATTTACATAAAACGTGTAAGAAGTGCATTTAAAAGAAAAACATTTAGTAATTTTCAATAATATAATGGCGGATCTAGCGTCTAGAACGTAAGAGTTGATGAAAGAAATACGATGTCGACGCATAGTCGACATTGGACTGAGAAAGGTTGATCGCTGTCGTCCTATAGATTTTCAATAAGAGACGTCGCAGTATAACTGCGGGCAATACATGGTGTGTATTCAACCATTACAGGTATCTATCTGGCTTATAGTTTCTAACGCTTTGCTATTTCTTCGGAGTTTGCAATTAAAAGCGAGCGTTAAAATTAGTACCAAACTTTGTATTTTCGAACAGCTTTGCCACAGGACTAGGACTAGGTTTTGCGCGAAATAATGACGATCAAGAAGGCTAGAAGGCCTAATATAATAGCCTTCGAGAAATATTGAAAGTGTTCTACATAGTGACTTCTGAAGTAGTTCCGACTGCTTGGACAAAACGCGGTGGGGTGTAGCAGAGCTTTTTTTACGAATGTTTCAAATTTTGTCGTTTTAGATATCTGAAGTGTTACCTCTCTCTGACATTGCAAAAGATATTCTAAAAATTGAGTTGTAAAATTAATTTAAAATTTTAGCTTACCTGACCAATGTGTTTTTTTAGTTCTTCCGTTTTTTGATCACGCATTGGATTATCGAAACCGCATAAGCCGATTCTTTCATTTATTAAATTAAGAAAATAAGGCAAAAAATTATTTTCATAAATTTATTCAAGTTTTTTTTAACATAAAGCATATTATCTTTTAAACGTTATTGCTACCTATTTTTATACCCACCACTGAACGATGGGGGAAAGCAGGGTCTTTGTGTTTGTGTGGTGTTTGTTTTTGGCGCTCCCCTGGTCGCAAAAATGACTTCAAATTTGGTAGAAACATTGGAAGGTTTTGCATGGCGGTTTCTTTGTATTGAAAATGGGTCACATTGGTTGTAGCATATGCCCGCAGTGGAGCGTAAATTGAACGCAACTCTGCTTCTCTTAACAAAAATTTGCTCGCTATTCAAATGTCATAAAAATGATAAGACTACAATTTTCCACATTTACTTTACAAAACCCTCTATTCTTTACGTCCAAAATGGAAAAAATCGGCCATGGCCACAGACTGCTTTACAAGCGATTAAATTTTATTTATTTTTTTTTTCACATTTTTGGGGTTTTATGCTTATTTACCATAACGCAAACAAGACAGAATGTTTAAAACTATTTAGTATATTCCTCAAATGAAGAAAGGTATGTTATCTGCCTAAAAATGGGTTAACTTTAAAATAAGTATGGTAGACCCCGTGATTAATTTTTTCTTAATAATACTAGCGATATGGGTATCAAATAATATAATCTGGAGGGTAGAATACGAATAGCTAAGTGGGTTAGTTTCAAATTGAATACCTCGGACGTCACGACGTAAGGAACTAATTTTTTCGTTGGAATACCCTTGATATGAGAGCGTCAAATAAAAGGACTTGGAGAATAGAATGCGAGAAGCTATATGTGTTAATTCTACATTGATTGTGGTAGATGTCACGGTTTAGTGGATAAATGTTTTCTTAAAATACTTTCGTTATAGGTATCAAATGAAAGGAGTAGTGTAGAACGCGATAAAATGTGTTAGTTACAATTTAATTATGATGGACGTTCCAATAGTGGTGGGTATGCGAGATTCGGCCCTCGCCGAATATAACTCTCTCTCTCACTTGTTTTTAAATTAATATCGGTCGAAAGTTGTAAATGAAAAATTTTTAAACTTTAAGCAAATACTTTTGAGATAAGTGATAGATAGGTGATATAATGGGTGATATAAAAGGTCTCCACTGTTTCTTGCCACTAGATCCTGTTGTTGCCTCACCTGACTGTCTTAAACGAACATGTACTTAAAAGCTTACATTTTTTGTGCCGATAGGTTTCTACATCTTTGCTTGTGTAACAAGTTGCGAGTGCAATGTTTGAAGAAATACACGATGTGATGCTTTTTTACTATAAAAAAGTGAAAACCTCGCTCTGGCCGGCCACTCACGGAAAAGTCGATAAACGACGGTGCGCGAGCTGTCAGATAATAGCGGAGGCACTAAACATCAACCACATGACATCAGAGAGAAGATCAAAAGAAGACCCAAAAACCGCGGAGACATTTTATATCATCCATTAGTTTAATTTTCTATTAATTCTATTATCATTATTATGATTATTATAATTCGTTAACCTCAAAGAAGTAAGTTTTGGATTTAAAGTAAGATAAGCACAAGCTGCTAAAATTATCAGATTTGTTTTTTACGAGGGCGGATTTTTGCAAAAGTGCCCCTCTTGCGGTTTTTCGAAGTTGTTTCGAAATAGCGATGAAAAAAAATTATGGCTAATGTATATTAGTGTAGTGCTGTCGATGATTTCCGTTAGTTTTTCTTTTTCACTTTTGTACACTCCACCAGTTGTGGTACAAGAGTTTGTGCGGATGTGTCCAACATTTAAGGTAGACAGGAAGGAGCACGGAAGTAATTTAGATTTATTCGATCCATCGATTCGAAAAGTGATTTCGATCAAAGTTCGCGTATCTCTCTGTCCGTCTCATATTTTTGTGTTTGATCGAAACTTGGTATTTTGGACCAAGGATGCGCACTATTAGCACTTTTTCGATCATTCACCATTTATGGAGACTTATTTTGAAAAGTTGTCAAATGAACAATTGTAATGAACGAAGTGGTGTGCGGTAGGTACTGGTTGGCACTATAGTGTTTTCAGTTTTATTATAACTTAACTTCATATTACATATACTCTGTATAACCAGTTAACTCGTTAAGAACTATTTTCTCGATTGTGCTATCTGCAATTACTGCTACGGAAGCTGGAGATTCGGTTGCGACCTCAGTTTGCCCATTTGCTAAGAAACCGATACCACTTAATATACAATATTTTTTAATTTTATCTTCGCACGGCACGAAGGTATTCGTTACTGATGTTTCAACTAGAATTTAAATAGATTTTATGACTGATAGACTGTCTGTGAGGACAATTGCTTTGAGCTTGATTTTGCGAGCGGAGTTCACGCCTTGAAGAAAGTTTCAGATTCGCCACAACCATTTTCATATAGGGTATAATTAACTTGGACCTGTCTCATGGCAAGTTTTAAAAGGGATTATGAAAAATGTGTCGAAGGACTTTCCGGAAGCAATTATCGATTAATCGAAATTGTTAGAAACTGAGCAGCATTACTGATTTCTGGAATACCTTTCTGCCACTGGCACGAGAATTCCATAACATAACATAATATGTGACGCGAGAGAAATTATTTATTGAAAATTAATTAAATCGCAAGGAGCACTTTAAAGCTTTTTTTTTGAACATTTCTTGACCATTTTCCAATTGATTCATGTTTGCAGAATAATATATACGATGTTTAATTATCTGAATCGAAAATTTTTTTTCTTTTAAATTTACTGTTAAATTGTTTTATTATGTTTTGTAAAAAAAGAAATATTTTCCTATTACTAAAAGCTTTACATCGAAGCATAAACTGCTTTTTATAATGTTAAATATAAATAATGCTAAATATGTAAACGTATAAGTGGTTACAAAAATCATACATTTGATAAAATGAGCGAGTTTTTAAGAAAGGAAAGATTCATGAGGCTTTATCTGCAGATGAAGCTGGGGTTTCGCTAAAAATTAACAAAATTTTGGGGGACATTCCATAGGTCAAACGGGGACTGGCATGAAAATGTCATAACGAAGTTTCGTATTGGTAAAAGGGATGCGGGAGGCAAAGTCGAGTCAAGAGCGTTGAATCGTAATATTGAAAGGAACAAGACCAGAAGAAGCGCTGTGAAGGTAATGTGTACACAACTTCTCTAAGAATTGTCAATAAAACCTATGCTATATTAAAAATCGCAATTCCCTGATACGAAGAAGTTGAACAAAAACGTAAAAGTCCACACGACGTTTGTTTATTATCGAAGCGTGAAGGGTATATTTCTCTTGTTAAACCGTTTGCAATGCCAAGGTGGCAGCTTAAGACTAAAGATATCGCGTACAAGTTTACGAAAGAATTTGAAAATGATCCAAATCGGTCAAAGGACACACCTACAACGCGCATACGCTTATGCACACCTTTGTTCTCCGTGTGTTTTGCTTGGTATTCATAAAATACAACACGAACACCATTCTGACATTTTTATTCTGAAAATAAAAAATCAGAACCAACATTGTAGAGTAAGACAACTTGGAAGTTTGTCTTTTTTTTTTTGTGGGTTATAGTGATGGGTGTAAATGATTCGGTCGCGACCGAATATAGTTTTCTGATTTGTTTCTTTCGCTTTTTGCGATCATTGGGCCCTTCAAACAGAACGAGACCAAAGGTCCAGATTAAAACTTGCTTAAATGCATTAGAATTTGCAGGATTTATAGGCATTTCTTACATGTCAAACGTATGAAAACTTTAATATAACTCCGCATAAAAGTGTAAGTGATTTCGAAGCGAATAACAAACCTAATATGCCTACGTACGGCCTGTCGTTGATGAATAGAAAATAATAAAAAATAGATTTCCGTGATATAGATACTATTATGGATTGCGCAGCATATGCCACATGACATATGGTCTATCTATATACGTAATATGTATATAATAAAATACGTTTCGTCCGCTTAGGATCTCAAGAACTCGTACATGAAATTGCTGCAATTTAATGATTTGTTGCTGTTGTTTTGTTGAAATATATATTTTTATACATTGGCAAATATTTATTAGTCGTTAGTGGTGGTGGTGTATAAGGTTATAAAACGTAATAATATTTAAAAGAAAATTGAAAAATTTAGGTTAAATGATTTTTGTGTATACATGCAACGGCATAGAAGTCTTCAAGAGTGCACATACATGTATATATATATATATATATATATAGAAATAGAATGTGGGGTCAAAGTGGTGGACTGCACTGCACCCATTCTTTCTTGTAAGCGTATACGTTATGTTCATGACCATATATATGAACATAGATATATATATATATATCTATAAATGTATACATTTTCATTAGATAAACTTTAAAGGAGTGTTTTATGTCTGTCTCAAGCACACTTTAATCATAAATGGCGATTATTGCAATAAGAAAAACTTAAATTGATACCAACGGTAATTATTATATAACTTTAACATTTTATTCATTATTAGATGAAGTTTCCTGAAACGGATTTCTAATTTTATTGAAATTGTTAATAAAAGTAAAAATATAAAAATAAAGCGAACCCATTGCCCTTTTTAATTAAATTTAAATATTACATGTTTTTGTATGAAAAATTGAGCGCTAATGTTTGTTGATTTATTTATTCATTTATTTATTAAACTTTTTTCCTTTTTTTTATTTACATTTACTTTTAATGCTAGGTTGTAGGTGTTGCTATTACCATTGAAGAATTGAAAAATGTTCGCGATTGAATAATATTTCTTTCATATTCTTTTTTCAGATTCAACTGAATTACCTCAGTCAGTTAAAATAAAAAAAATATTTATTTAAATATCTCTGATTGATAGCTTAGCAGTAATTAACAGAAGTTGTATGCTGTCTCTTAACGTTACTCCGCTTTAAATGAAGTAAATAACAAATGTATGTTCGCCTAAAGGCGATTCCTAATATATGTTGTATTTTGTATCTCTTGTAAAACATGTAAAAA